TATATATATATAATATGTATTTATGTATTATGTCAGTATTTATATAAATATATATTATAGAAGCCTCCTATATATATACATATATATATATATATGTATATGTACTCTACATATCTATATTGTATATAATCATTTAGTAGGAGAAATTATACATGTGCATAAAGACCATATAAAACTAATATATCTGATGTATTTGAATACATTTGTACTAAAAGACATTCCAGGTGTATGTATATGGTCGTAGGAGATTTTAAAGGCAATAATCGTCGTTTATACGATTGTACTATAATATAATAAAATATGTAATACACAGAGTATTAAAGAATATCAAATATGTATATTGTGGGGAGTTTTACACAAGCCTACCAATATAGATGTGTACAGCAAATGCTTATTCAATGTTGTACTTTATTAATTTCGATATTGAAATACAAAGCATAATTTGTATAAAACGGTACGCGATAAAGCGTGAAAAATTGGATTTGAAAACTGGACGAAACTTCGATTTCCTCGAATTATTACGTATTAAACGTACATACGTACATACGTACACGAATAGGTATTTTGCCGTAATATATGTATATCGTTGACAGGCGTGAAATGATATGCGCAGTTCTTGTGAATTGGTCAATCGATATCATAATACTATCGTTATTGTGTCTATTTCTAGATTCATATCCAGAACGTCACAATGCCTTTTTCGTTAATAATGAGCGACTTGAAGGAGACATTGAGTACCGTTCACATCACACGGCTTTACAGCTTAGGCCTTGATTTACATTTTCTTTTTTTTAACGCCAAGCTTGATTTGTCTTAATTATCAAATCTTTATTCATTTAATAAAATCGTGAATTTTACGCAACTTAAATTCAATATATAAATGTAAAACCAAGGAAACATCGTCTCTTTGTAATTTAAATGAAGCTTCTTTTACATACGCTGTAGAGAACACACAAGTCAAAGAAATATATCAGAGAAGATTTATATCAAAGAGAGGATACGCAAGTAACTTTTTTTTTTCTTAATATCGCGATATTGTCTCTGAGCCCGTCAATCAAGTTCAAACGTCAGTACATTGATCATTGCTTTTCAGAAGTATCCACCTTGTCACGCGAATTTGGCATTCGATCGCTATTCAACTTCGTCAAGTAGATCTCTATAGCTAAACATCCCGCTTTCAAAGCGTTCTTCTCCACACTGTTCCATATCGAACTCATGAACATTGTGTAGCAAAATATCGCAGTTAAAAAAACCCGTAGTATATTCAAACCGATATCTATACCTATGGAAGTGTTTATGCAATTCAGCCCGAGGGACCAAATTAATGGAATGAACAATATACAACACGACAATAGATACCAGAAACGTTGGCGTTGCACGCTTTTCAATGCGGTCTCGCAAACTCCCTTTGCCTCTTTCAAAGAGTCCGTTACATCGAAATCCTTTACAGTATGTTCACCTACGATTGTACATTTATGGCTGCATATATTACTAGATATATAGAAGATATATAGAAAAATAATCAGCGACCGACCGAAACTACTTTTTTTTTCAGTTTCAGCCAAAACAGAACATTCGGTTTCTCTTTCAATTTTGGTTAGAAACCGAAACTCTTATTTTTAGCCGAAAATAACAGAAACTGAAATTTCGATCGGACACTGGAAATAATGTATACTGAATATTCAGAAATGTGCCACTTACCGCTGGTGAACTTGAGCGTAGCCGTGACGGCCTCATGATCCGAATAACTGAAGTCCTTATACGGCACACGATTTGGCAAAGGTAATTCGTAGTTTGTGATTTCAGCCTGCAAATTGTTGCGTAATTGTTAAGATTGTTGTTCATCGTACGATGGACGAATTAACCGAACAGAGCCGATATCGATACGTGTTACAGTCCGCCTACCTTGATAGCACTCGAATCTAAATACAAAATATAATCTATTCGCTTCCCTTCCGGTCTTGTACGTGCGATCTTCGAAGTGGTATAACTGTTATTGGCACACTCATTGGTCCCTATATGACTCACGCTATTTGGACAGGCGTCCGTTAAGCCGGCAACGCCACGTATGATTCTGTACGCTAAATCTTGCGGCTCTGTATTCAGATCGCCAGTTAATATCACAGCGTCCGCGCCACCGCTGGTCATTCTCACGAATTGGGCAGTGTCGAATGCCTGCAGCACTCTGTGAGCCTTGTATTCATCATTCTCCCTGTTATATTCCGCGTGCAACTGCAAAATAAGAAATGACTGATGCTGTCGAATTTATCCTTGACAGATTTCCATTGGTACATTATAAGCTACATATAAACTGTCTATTACATTATATGAGTGGATAGTACTTTATATATATATACTTTAGTATGTACATAGTATAGTATAGAATACATATATATATATATATATATGTAGGATAGTACTTTATATATATGTATGTCAATATCACAAAAGTAATAATGAAGAAGTGCATTGGATAAACATACATGTACGACATAGATGTTGACAAACATGTCACGAATTTTGATCTTACAAAGGCCTACACCCTTGCCACCAAACCAGTCACCATGGTGTATTTTATGAACATATCCATTCAAAGGCCATTTGTGAAACATCACTTCGTGGATAGGATACCGTGACAATATGCATATTCCAGATCCCATGACGCCGCTGTGTGAAGAAAAGATACAGAATCTTAGTGAACAGAGTAAATCACTTAAGTATCTAAAGTAAATAGGATCGTGCACCTGTAAAAGTAATGTGAATATGGCAATACTTCCTGTACTTTTGCTTTTATTGTCTTAAAATCACTTTCAGACCATACCTCTTGTAAGCAAATTATGTCATACTCTCTGCTAGCGCATGTCTCTGCAATAGCGGACATACGTGCTGTTCTATGTTTCGAAACATATGGTATACCCCTGAATGAAACAGAAAGTTTGCATAATTTTTTAGAGGACATATTTGAACCGTTTTGAATGCGACTTGGTATTATTGCATATCATTGTGAGTATAAAACACAAAGGTAATAATAATTAGAACACGAAGGTAATAATAATTAAAAAGATATCTCCTCGTTCTGATACATGTCATCATTTATTTATAATTATTGAAGGGCAGACAATGTATGACATTTCTTAATTTTTCCAGTCTTATCAAATTTCATTATCTGCACATGAATATAATGTAATAACATAATTATATGATATCATTAATATTTGGTCGTGATCATTCTCAAACAGATGACAGGTCAGATAAATGACATGTCTCCTAACCTTCAAAATGTTGCCGTAAAAGCTCATTATTTTATTATTCTTTTTCAGTGTCAAGTAAGGATTTTTATTTTCATATCCTTATTCTACATACTAAAACACATACGCAAACAAAATTTCAACGAGAGATGTGATATCTAGATAATTACTGAATACAAATTAAGAAAATCGTTGCGGCGATAAGGACGGATTGCGTTGAAATAGTTTTAAATTTTCCGCCACGACAAATTTTCCAACTTACCAGCAATTTAGCGTCAGTATATTCGCTGAAGTCTCGCTCGTCATGATGTCGAGTGTATCGTTCCTATTAACAAAGAAATTTTAACAAAATACGCTCTCTGAGTCAGTTACATTACGATCAATTCCGACAATTACGTGCCTCTTGTCCCGAGTATCTTATGAATAAGAGTGGCTAACAAAAACACAGCGACACCAACAACTTATCTCTCTCCGACATTTCACATCTTCATTTTTACAATCAGATCTTATCTGCGGTTAACAATTGACGATAACATGCGCGCACGGTGCGCATGATGAAACCGAGCAATAGATCCGTTCGTTTTCGCTGCACCGCTGAACTAGTGCAATAAGTTGAAGTGAGAAAACATATACTTGTCTCGCTGCAACTTATTGCACTAGTTCAGCGGTGCAGCGAAAACGAACAGATACCTAACTTCACGATGGACAGGGAATTTGTCACTAGTAACACCAACACGGGCGTGTCTCGCGCGAATATCGATATTAACATCGACCTCGAAATGATAATCGTTTACCGACCGGACGGAACATGCGATTTCCCGTCGATATTTATCATTCGGATGATGTTTCCTCTGATGTATCTCTCATTGATTTCATCCCGTTGCGTTCTCGCGCAACGTACACGCTATGTTCGTGATTTTTGACACTCGACGGAGGGAATACCGGCTCGCGCATTGATTGACGGTGATCGAAAGTTGATGCGACGGTGCGTCATTCGAGGAGCGTCCGTGACTTCTAAATGCTTCTTAATCACTCGCCGATTGACACTTCCTCTCTCGGTCTTCCGTAATCTCGCTCGTGATTTGCAGTCGTCGAATCCGACGATCCCGACCTCGGGATACGATGATTGCTCGCAACACGTAACCACAGCAGTAGAAACGTATAATATCCGGCCGACTATCGGGCATACTTAACCTCCTGGGGCGCGGTGTATGTTTTTCTGCCCGGGGGGAGACAGTTTCGCAAGACGGACGACGAGATGACCACCGACAAAGTCACTTTGGGGGACGCCCTGTCAAACGTCGATGTGTTGGATGAATTCACGCTACCGGACGAGCAACCTTGCATAGAGGCTCAACCATGTTCTGTGGTGTACCAAGCGAACTTCGACACCAACTTCGAAGACAGAAATGGCTTTGTAACTGGTATCGCTAAGTACATAGAAGAGGCAACTGTGCACGCGAGCTTGGTCAGTCTATTCCCCATGCGTTGCCTCCTATATACCTATTTATTGATTTAATTAACAATTAATGAAATGGTTTTGCTTGAAAATTCTAGAACGAGTTACTGGAGGAAGGTTTGGAACACGCTGTTATGCTGTACACTTGGAGATGTTGTTCACGTGCAATCCCGCAACCAAAATCTAACGAGCAGCCAAATAGAGTAGAGATCTATGAAAAGACAGTAGAAGTATTAGCACCTGAAGTAAATAAGTTATTAAATTTTATGTATTTCCAAGTAAGTATTAATCACATCTCCTATTGTTGTTATTACCTTGGCTTCATTTCATGTTGTTCATATTCATACATATTTCGCGTTTCAGAGAAAAGCGATCGAGCGTTTCTCAGGAGAAGTCAAGCGATTGTGTCATCATGAAAAGCGAAAAGATTTTGTATCCGAGGCTTATTTACTGACCTTGGGGAAATTTATCAATATGTTTGCTGTATTGGACGAGTTGAAGAACATGAAATCTAGTGTGAAAAATGACTACTCGACGTACAGGAGGTGAGTCGAAGAAGCAAGGCTACCTCAACGTTTCTCTCCAATCGTGCGCTTAGCCCTTTGTTAATGCGCTTTCCCTGATTTTCCACAGAGCCGCGCAATTTTTGAAGGTGATGTCAGACTCCCAGACACTACAGGAGTCCCAGAATTTGTCGATGTTTCTGGCAACACAGAACAAAATTCGCGACACCGTGAAGGAGAATCTAGAGAAGATCGCGGGATACGAGGAATTGCTCGCGGACGTCGTCAATATTTGTGTTCACATGTTTGAAGCGAAAATGTACCTCACGCCCAACGAGAAACATATGTTGGTGAAGGTGATGGGCTTCGGTTTGTTCTTAATGGACAGCGAGTTGTGCAACATCAACAAGCTCGACCAGAAGAAGAAGTTGAAGCTGGACAGAATCGATAGGATCTTCAAGAACTTGGAAGTGGTGCCGTTGTTCGGAGACATGCAGATCGCGCCGTTCAACTACATCAAACGCTCCAAGCACTTCGACGCGTCGAGGTGGCCGTTGTCCTCCTCGTCGAACAACATAAGCCCTCAGGCCGATCTTATGGTGCATCTTCCGCAGATTAGAGAGGATCACGTGAAGTACATCAGCGAGTTAGCGAGGTAACACCGTTCTCTCCGCGCCACCACGTCTCGGCTTCCTATTGTTTCACGTAACGTCACGCTTGACAATTGTATTACGCACACCCAGGTACAGCAACGAAGTCACCACTACGTACAAAGAGTGCCGGAGCGACACGGAAAATCGCGACACGGCGGAGCTGGCGTTACGCGGATTACAGTTGCTCTCGCAATGGACCAGCGTCGTGACGGAGTTGTACAGTTGGAAGCTGCTGCATCCCACTGATCATCATATGAACAAGGAATGCCCGCAGGAGGCCGAAGAGTACGAGAGGGTGAGCGTTTCGCCTGATATCGATCCGAACAAATATTTCATTGGATTTATTCATCCAGCGACGTTATTTATTTTCTCGATTTCAGGCCACGCGCTACAACTACTCCGACGAGGAGAAGTTCGCCCTTATAGAAGTCATTGCGATGATCAAGGGATTGCAAGTACTGATGGCGCGAATGGAGACTGTTTTTATCGATGCGATACGTAGGAATATATACGCCGAGTTGCAGGACTTCGTGCAACTCGCGTTGCGGGAGCCCTTGAGGAAGGCGATTAAAAATAAAAAGGATCTGATTAGAAGGTAGCGTGTACATTCTGTGTTGACTGTATCGTGCGAGTTTGATTTCTTTCCCGTGCTTGCAGAGTGTTTGTTGGTTTGTTTCATGGATATCGTTGCTGTCAGCGGTTACACGTTCAAATAGCGTTTAAAGCACCTCTCTTTTCGTCCTTTGTTGCAGTATAATCGTTTCCGTGAGAGAAACCTGCGCCGACTGGCACTTCGGAGTGGAGCCGCTCGGAGATCCCGCTTTAAAGGGCAAAAAGGACCCGGACAATGGTTTCGGCATTAAGGTACCACGTAGGAACGTCGGTGAGTCATTCAATTTCACGATGTATTCACGTTTTATCTCGTCGGGTTCACAGTCGAGTTTGAAAAGTAATTATGATGAAAAACGCGAAACAGGTCCGTCCTCCACGCAACTTTACATGGTGCGAACCATGCTGGAGTCATTGATCGCCGATAAAAGCGGCGGGAAACGCACCCTGCGGAAGGACATTGACGGCCAATATCTCGTTCAGATCGATCAATTCCATAAAACTAGTTTCTACTGGAGTTATCTTCTGAATTTCAGCGGTGAGTGAATATCTGCATATCGCTCATGGATTCGCAGTTACCGTACGGCACTCTCGTAATTTCTCTTCTTACAGAGTCTCTGCAGAATTGTTGCGACTTGTCGCAACTGTGGTACAGAGAATTTTACCTGGAAATGACCATGGGTAGGAAAATACAGGTAAGCAAGAACGTTGGTGCGCTCTTGAGTTGACACACCGTCGCGCAGCGTAAATTTCGGAACCGTCTTGTCGCGTCTTATCCCCTATTGCTCTCCTCACATTTCGAGATCATCATGTAACTTCCCTGTGTCGAACAAGTCACTGTCCCGTATAAGAAAGCGCACACAACGTGTTTATCGACCTCGCATACACACAGCGAATTGTACAATCACTTTTGCTCCGGCTTGCGGATACGTTTCCCCTTTCGCTATGTACCGAAGACTGTTTACGAAAATCGCACTCTCTGTAATTTATTCCATGACTAGAAATGCCAAGTACGTCACCAGCATAACGAAGAGTGCAGCGACCTGATCACCATGGAGAAACGCATTCAGGTACTTCCTCGTTTGCCGCCGCGTAGGCTGATAGATCTGGTGTTTTGTGTTCTGCAACATGCTGGAGATGAATTAATCTGAATCTTTCTCTCTCAGGCCATAGTATATCGCGAGAAAGACACCGCGTAGAGACACTGTGTTTGTTGCACCTATGTTCACAGGGTATCCCTCCTTAAGCGGGGCTTACTTCGAACCGCGGATGTCCAACGTTCGAATGAAGCAACGCTTAGCGAGGGACGTCCGTTGTTTCAAGTCCAAGTGTCTGATCAATGCACATGTTTCAGTTCCCGATCGAAATGTCGATGCCGTGGATATTGACCGACCATATATTGAGAAGCAAGGAACCGTCGATGATGGAGTAAGTTCTCACACGAGTCAAAACGATAAGACGCGCGACGGCAGTTCTTACGGATCGCTTAGGTCGGAACAACATACACGTTGTGCAACGCGTCCGACCGTGATTATTACGACTTGTTATCACTACGTGACGATTCTTATTGTATATCGTTCATTTCTCCCAGATACGTATTGTATCCTCTGGACTTGTACAACGACAGCGCGCTTTACGCGCTCACGATATTCCGCAAGCAGTTTCTGTACGACGAGGTGGAGGCCGAGGTGAATCTGTGCTTCGATCAATTCGTGTACAAACTCAGCGAGCAGATCTTCGCGCATTACAAACAATTGGCGGCCAGTATCCTGTTGGACAAACGCTTCAGGGTGGAGTGCGTGGCCCTCGGAGCGTATTTACTTCCGTATCCGCGTGCAAACAGATACGAGACGTTGTTGAAGCAGAGGCACGTCCAACTGCTCGGAAGAAGCATCGATCTGAACAAGCTCATTACGCAACGTATCAACGCGGATATGCAGAAGTCGCTGGATCTGGCGATCAGCAAATTCGAGTCCGGCGATATAACCGGAGTTATAGTAAGATCACCTCGCGATTATCCCTCGCGGAAACTATTCGAATATTCCTCACGACTGCATTCGCTGACTCTTCGCTCGCTTTGCAACACTCGACAGGAACTAGACGGATTGCTGCAAGTGAATCGCCTCACTCACAAGCTTCTGAGCAAGTGGCTGGCGTTGGACGAGTACGACGCCATGTTCAGGGAGGCGAATCACAACGTCCTAGCTCCCTACGGAAGAATCACCCTTCACGTATTCTGGGAACTGAACTACGACTTCCTGCCGAATTATTGTTACAACGCTGCCACTAACAGGTATGCGCGCGATCATCGATCGGTCATCTTCATAGATATGCGCGTGCGTTATTATTATCATATTATTTTTATATCATTGTTTTATGTATTATCGTTTATTCATACTTTTATCGTTACGAAGAGTTATTGTCATTGTGAAATTTACTATTGTTACTGATCACGTGTCGTGCATTTCGCAGATTCGTCCGATGCCGTGGCATACAATTCGTGCAGCCGGTTCATCGAGACAAGCCTCCGCAGATGTCTCATCACTATCTCTGGGGCAGCAAGCAGCTGAATCTGGCTTATAGCACACAGTACGGCCAGTATTCAGGCTTCGTCGGGCCGTACCACTTCCGCACTATATGCAAACTTCTCGGGTACCAAGGGATAGCTGTGGTCATGGAGGAACTCTTGAAGATCGTCAAGACGTTGATCCAAGGCAGCTTGCATCAGTTCACGAAAACTCTGATGGAAGCTATGCCGAAGGTCTGCAAGCTTCCGCGATATGACTACGGGTCTCCCGGTGTCCTCGGCTATTACCACGCTCAGTTGAACGACATCGTGCAATATCCCGACGCTAAGACCGAGCTGTTTCACAATTTCCGCGAATTCGGCAACACGATCCTGTTCTGCCTCCTGATGGAGCAGGCCCTGTCGCAGGAGGAGGTCTGCGACTTACTTCATGCCGCGCCCTTCCAGAATATTCTGCCTAGACCGTACTGCAAAGGTGAGGATTCTCGCTTTCAATAAAGATGCGGATCGTTCGAAGTGAGGGACGACCAATCGAATATTAGCAGGAGTGAAATAGAGCGAGTTAAGACCAACTTGGATCGTTTACGTTCAACGTTTTCAGAGGGTGAGAAGCCTGAGACCAAGCAGAAACGACTGGAGGCGAAATACGCGGCTCTGCAGATCGTACCGAACGTGGAGAAGTTGGGCACTGCTAAAGTAAGAAACAGTGAAAAGCGTGAACTACCGCTTATCTTCTCCGACGTAAATCAAGCGTCGTAATAACCGTCTCGATTCCGCAGCAAGCGATGATCGCCAGAGAGGGCGATTTGCTGACGCGCGAGCGCTTATGCTGCGGTCTGTCGATATTCGAGGTTGTCCTCAGCAGATTACGGAGCTTCCTGGACGATCCTATCTGGGTCGGCCCGCCGCCGGCGAACGGTGTCATGAACGTGGACGAATGCACGGAGTTCCACAGGCTCTGGAGCGCGCTTCAATTCGTCTACTGCATCCCCGTCGGCGAGACCGAATTCACCGTCGAGTTAGTACAATCATTCACGGCGTATGCGATCGAGAAAGTACCTGCGCGTGTAATCTTTTTCAAGTTGGAATTTTGCATGAAAGAAAAAAGGAAACGGGGGAAAGGAAGAGAGTGCTGTCAACAAAGCGTTCTTACCGAGAAATATCGTTCCCATTTTCTTCCGACGTAGAGTTATCCCAGAAGAAGCCGGGGAATCGTAGAGAGTACTTGTTTATCCGCTGTATATATCGGGAGAGTGCCGTCACACGATTGCTTTCCTCTCGCAGGGAATTATTCGGCGAGGGTTTACATTGGGCCGGTTGCGCCATGATCGTTCTCCTAGGCCAGCAACGTCGATTCGAGGCGCTCGACTTCTGTTACCACATTCTCCGGGTGCAACGTGTGGACGGTAAAGACGAGAATGTGAAAGGAATAGTGAGTACACACACCGTGTGGATGCATGGAAAGGCTTTTCACCGGTTTATCTCGCGTCGCGCTCGAACTGAACGATACACCCATGTCTTTGATCTCGCAGCATCTGAAGAGGATGGTGGACCGGATAAGACGATTTCAGGTTCTAAATTCGCAAATATTCGCTGTGCTGAACAAGTATTTGAAGAGCGGCGACAGCGACGCGGCCAGCGTCGAGCACGTGCGCTGCTTCCAGCCGCCGATACACCCTTCGTTGGCGCATGCCCAGCAGCAGCAGCACTACCACGCGCCGGAATACCTGCGTCAAATCAATCACCAATGAGCCGAGCGATCGTAAAGGGAAAGAAAAAAAGACTGCAGTCAATGCGACTCGAGCGGGAGGACGTTATAATAAGAACGACGAAGCCAGTTCTCGTCCCTACGAGGAGATATTTCTAGCTAAAGATTATATTTTATATTGTCTTTTACGTATCGCGAGGTATCCGTTTATACCGTCCCGTCCGTTAATTCAGTCGCCACGAATTAACAAAACACGGCGGGGGCATCTTTTTTTACGCGAATTTGTAGGAACTTGGGGGGG